GTCAATTGTAAAACACCACCTCCATCTAAACAGTCAAGTGCAGCACAAACATACTTAGCCAGGAGGTATAAGTACATAAACCTTTCAGTCATGACACTTCTAACTGCATATACTCTACAAATTTTACATCAATGAAATACACCCTTCAGTTTTACAAACAAAAACGTACACACACAAAATCATCAATCTAAGAACAAAGATTCGGTGACATTACAGGCATACCGTGTGCAGAAATATCCAGAAAATCAAAATCCCACATCAGAAATTTCTAAGCTTACGAGCTGGAATATGATATGAACGAAACGAATCGGAAACGAAAACGAGCTTCGTACCAGAAAATGAAGAATTGAATTCGACCAGCTTCGATCCGTAGAACCTGCACAGGATTAGAAAAGCAAGAAAATGTATTGAGAGCTTTTTTCCAGTCCGCTCGGTGCGTGTGTGTGTGAGAGAGTGAAATACAGAGCCTTACCCTAGAAACGAACGAGTGCACCGAGTGAAATCTGAACGAAAAATGACCAAGAAAATTAATTATATATATATATATATATAAAGAATAGTTAAAAAGAGTAATATTGAAAATATTATTTGCAACCAATAATAGTATTGTTTTTACAATTTGGAATTTGTCACTGAAGAATTACTCGTAGTATTTGAATAATCACAATTTACAATTTAAATCATCTTTCATAGCAAATAATTGGATATAAAAATTTTTACTCAAAATATATATTTTTGGTTAACGAGAGTTAATTTGAAAAAATATGGTATAATTTAGTGGCACTTTATGTTTATATTAAAAATAATATTTAAATAATAATAATTTAAATTGATTTGATGTAAAAATATGAGAGAGGTGATATATAAAGTGATGGTCTGTGATTAGTTAAAATTATATGAGTAAATGAATAGTGAATTAAAACTAACGTGATGTGTAAAATGATTGATTGAGATCATTTAATTATATTGATAATATTGAAAATATCGAGGTTGAATTAAATTTGAGTTCGATTTTGAGTATGGATTGAAAAAGAAATTATAAACAAACAACTCCTTAATGTTGGTAATGTGAATATGAAACTTTAGACAGTGAACTGAAAAACATATTATCATTATCAAAACTGCAAAAATACACCAGTTTCAAAGCTCATACAACATTTTCCTCTGTGCTTTATACAACTTTTAACACAATAATTCACTGCAGAACTAATTGAATCAGCTAGAGAAAGAGAATATTAGTAGATGAGTTGCGGTTCAAACTCGGCAAAGTCAACCGAGCCAGACTCGATGGGTTTCATGAGATACGCAGCAAACAACTCAGAAGCTAAAGCCGCAATAAGGGGAATCCTCTTCATGTTCTTCATAAATGGGATATCATCACTCTCCCCAATCGCAAGTATTTGCTCGTTTATCTCCACCATCCGATCCAACTTCCTTTTGAATTCTGGGTTTTCAACATCCAGCACAGCCGGGAATATTCTTGCAGTCGTGCGATTTGTCTGCACAGAAAAAGAATCACAAATTTAAACGAAAAAAGAGATTGTAACTTTGAAAGAAAGAAAAAAAAATGAGATTTTTAACATCATAATTTCCAAGAGAATTTGAGGATGCATATTGTGCAAAACTTGGAAAAAAAACTACCTCAATGATGACATGCATGTCAAACTCCTTCGTATCGAGGCCAATTCCCTCATAAAAAGCTGTTCTTTGGCAGTCGTTAAGGTACATTGTCACATAAACCTAAGCAAATTCAGTCATCAAATATGTAAGAACACACACACACAATAGACACAGTTATCTTAACGAATCATTTCGGCTATGTTCGGCTATGTGTGGTTAGCTTACAAGCTTCATGTGTTCAAATAAGCTTCGTTAGGTAGGCCAAGCTTTTTTATTTCAATTAGTTTATCAGCTAATTTTACCAAACACTTTTATCATATAAGAAGCTAGTTTTTCAGCTATAAGTTATAAGCTCGAAAATAAGCTAGCTTATCAGCTATCAGCTAACTTATCATCTGGTTTTACCAAACATAGCCCTAAAAATATGACAATTTAGCACTAAGATGTAGATAATTACCGAGAGGCAGAAAAAACGGGCCCACAGCTTCGCCTTCCAGTCGTTGAGGAACTGTGGCTGTGCCTTCATTAGTGCAGAGAAAAAATCGCCATGCCGGTTTTCATCCTGGCACCAGTTCTCAAAATACTTGAAAATCGGATAGCATTGATAATCGGGGTTTTCCTTGAGATGCCTGTAAATCGTAATGTATCTCCAGTAGCCAATCTTCTCGGACAAGTAAGTTGCGTAGAAAATGAACTTGGGCTTGAAAAACGTGTACTTTCGGGCCTTTGTAAGAAATCCCAAGTCCAAAGCCAAATTGAAGTCTGATAAACCTTTGTTCAGAAACCTGTTTGAACAAGTTAGTTCCATCATTTCATAAACCATTAATTTCCATATTCGTGTGTGAGTGCAAATAAAGAAATTCGAACTCACCCAGCATGTCGAGCTTCGTCTCTAGACATGAGGGAGAAAATCTCAGCAACCACAGGGTTAGTTTTCTGCACAAACAAAAAGAAAACGGTAATAATAAGTTAAAGGAGAAATAAACATGTATCTGACCAACAAATACCAGAGATGAATGATATCTCAATACGGGAATACATTCGAAAAGCTCAGAAAGCAACAATGAGAAATTTATGGACACTATATATAGTGACAGGAGATTGAATTGAGGGATTTTAATTCAATCAGAGGGCTCTAGTAGCTTAAATGATGAGTGTTCTTTATTTTTTTTTTCTCCCTTTTGGATTATCAAAATATATGTAAACTCAAACATTTGGATGGTTAAAAGCCTCGTGTGCAATCTAGGGTCGAATCTACCCATTCACTTCCTTTATATTTTTCTCAGAACAAAAATCATAAAAGAATAAATCAACCGTCTATATAATGTCTACTAATCTAGATTACACTACAAGACCCTGCAAAAGTTAATCCCATCACAAGATTCCCAAATATAGATTCCAAACCAGGACAACATGAACTACATAAAAACATCAACCAGCCCCCAAATTCAGCAACATTTTTCACTAAAAGTAGCATAAACACAAAAACATATCAATAAAGAAGTATATATGAATATAAAAAACCAAGACTTCCCAAATATAAAATAAAAATCGTACCTTTAGCCTCCTCCCCAGCTCCTTGTACAGAAGAAACCCGGAGAACTCGGCCGTGCAAGACCTCTCCAGAAACTCCACGAAAATTCTCCTCATAGGGCCCTCGATCTTCTTGGCCGCCTCCTTGAACTCGTTGCTCCTCACGAAATGGGTCTGGTTGAAATCGGTTTTGAACTCCTGCAGCAGGGCCTCGAACTCGTCCATGTTCAGGTTCCGGTTGATCTTCGCGTTGAAGAGCTGCTCCATCTCGTCGAAGTCCGTCGTGTAGAACCTCGGCGTCAGGAGGGTCTCCTTGATTTCTTGTTTCTGGCTCTTTTTATTCTTGCCGCCCGCCGCCGCCGGAGCGGCGGAAGACATTCTGACGGCGAAACGGGTTTTCCGGCATTGCGGGGAAATTGGGCTTCCGATTCTTGGGATTGAGGGGTTGAATTTGGAAATGGGCTTTGCCAGAGCCATTTCTGCTAGCATAATTTCTCTGTTGCGAAGCTAGATTTTTTTAGAGCAGCAGCAATGGGGAGTTTTATGTGTGAAGTTGAATTTGAATGTAATCTCATCTCAAGTGGAATCTGTGGATTAAATGGGTTTTTGACACGTGGAGTGATGTGATAGGCTAACGTGATTGCATTGTTGGTGGTTCATGTTTTTTTGGGCCTTTTTTTGTTCATGGCCAGGTGACAAATAATTATTTTCGCGGTTAAGACAATTCCATAGTTAACTTAATAAATATTATTTTAATACAAATTCAAAATTTCATTTAAACGTAACTCAACCAAATTTTTTAAAAATTATATAGTTAACTATAAAATCAATGAAAATTAAAATATCCAATAAAAAACTTATATCCATCACACCCTTAAAAGAAACGTGAAATGTCTCAAAGGCAAAGATTATATCTTTTTGGTACTTTTATGTGTAATTTTTGTTTCATTGTGATCTTATATCCAATTCAGAACGTAGAAACCAACAAAACCACAAATAACTTCTTGCATACTGAATTGATGATTGATCCAAACAAATGACTCAAATACTCATATCACTAATTCATTTTTCACGTGGTTTTCCTTCTGTCACAACATAAAATTCGGCATTTTACCTTTAAAAAAAAAAATACTTGTGACACAACACAAATTAACAACACAGGTAAGACATCCAAAAACAGTCCAAATTAAAATTCAAGCTAAATCAGTCCAACAAAAGTGAGGCAAAATATCCCCCAAATACTACAACTTCTAACATTATCTTACATCACAAAACAAACACACAGACCACAAAAAAACCTAATGTGACCTTTATAAACTTCTTGCTTGCTACCTCCATCGAAAAAGCTCTTATTAGCTAAACCTGCAGCCAGAAAAAAATGCAGCAGAGTAAGAGAAAAACTAACTAATTTCATCACTTTAAACGAAATTCATATCGAACGAACATTAAGGAGATAAATATAGCTTCCTGTCGTTATATGTGATCTGCCTCTCGAAAATTCTGATGCTTGCAAGGCTTTTGCTACAAGGATTACTNAAAGAAAAAAAAAAACCTCAATACATAACCACATATAGTATATTTAAATAATCCCAATATCGATCATATTCATCCCCTGTCGAAATCTTGAGGTTCTCGAAAAGAGAACAATCAAATGCACCTAAATTTTCTTCAAAAGACAAAATATATGACTGCAAAATTTCTTCACTTTAAACAAAATTCATATCGAATGAACATTAAACGAGAGAAATATAGCTTCCCGTTGTTATATCGATCTGCATCTCGAAAATTCTAATGCTACAAGGCCTTTGCTATGAGGATTAATTGAAAAAAAAAAAGAAACTCAATAGATAACCACATATATATATATATATATATCTAAACAATCCCAATATCGATCATATTCATTCCCTGTCGAAATCTTGAGGTTCTCGAGAAGAGAATGATCAAATGCACCTAAATTTTCTTCAGAAGACAAAATATATGACTACAAAATTTCTTCACTTTAAACGAACTTCATATCGAATGAACATTAAACGAGAGAAATATTGCTTCCTGTTGTTATATGTGATCTGCCTCTCGAAAATTTTGATGCTTGCAAGGCTTTCGTTATGAGGATTAATTGAAAAAAAAATAAAAAATCAATACATAACCACATATAGTATGTCTAAACAATCCCAATATCGATCATATTCATCCCCTGTCGAACTCTTGACGTTCTCGAAAAGAGAACTAACAAATGCACCAAACCCATTAGTATAATACTCAAACCAGTCAGCAATAAAGAGAAATAACTAAATGAAATACAAGAAACAACTAAATAAAACAAGAAAATATGATTCAAAGATTTCATCATGGACAACAAAAGAGAAGAGAAAATATTCAAAATAACCAACCTTTTAGTCCACCACGCCTTTAATCACCCGAACGAACCCCTAACCCATCACCTCTTATTGCATTTGCATCATCCGTAAAAATACCCTCTGCACTTAAATGACCCACAAAGGCATTTTCTCTTTCCAAAATCTCCTCCTTTCTCGGGCCTCACTATCCCATAATCAAACGTTAGCTCCTGCATGGGAGGAATATGCTTCACCGCAAAGAACGCAACATGCATAAACGTCTCGTTATAGCTCTCGCGCAAAACCGGCCGCCAAATCACGTTCGGCCAGCAGCTATGATTCATAAATCGAGCCACATTCCCATTCTTCTTCGCGTTTATAACAAGCGGGAAAGGAGCTTGTGGCTCATAGTAACGTGTCGAGTCGAAAATATAACTGTTATTATTATTATTAGTATTGTTGTTGCTTTCATCATCAGCCGAAGAGATGACATCACCCGCGTACTCGCAGATAAACCAACCCGCTCGAATCGGGTCTAACGATCTAAGCCCCCATCCTCTGTTCCTCGTCTTGAAAACCTCCAAACGAGCCTTAATTCCAGACTGAGAAAGTCGATTCCTGCAATTCAGAGGACAAGGGCACGTTCTCCCACATTCATAAATTATCGATTTTTCGGTCAAGAGTCCACCGAGTGAAGAGTAAGGGGCAAGACCGTCATTTTTCCGATTGCAGGGGCAATCGGTGTTCCCCGGCTGACACCCGCCTTTACAACCGCACGCCGGAGAAGGATCATTCGAACTATAAAACGGTTTCCCGTATTTTAAGCTTCGTTCGTACGTGAAAAAAGTCGGCCCCTTTTCCCCGTCAACCTCGTTAACTAAAGCCACGGGCAGCGACTCGCTGCCCGAAGAAAGATCCGGAAGGTTCACTCCCGCCCGAATCGTGCTCCCGTCCTTCCACTGCTGAATCATTTTCCACAGAGCAAACGCCTCTGGCTGCCCGGGACTTCGAACGAGCTTGTACTTAAAAACGCTGCATCCCGATTTATTCTTCTCGGCCCACGACTCGCGAATTCTATACAAACCATCGTAGACGTAAATCTTCCCCGTCGAGCCCGAAATGTCCTTTATACCCCTGATGACCCGAACGTCATTCCCTCGATGGAGACTCTTCTCGAGCGCAAGATTTCCCCTTTCCAGCTTCTGGTCAAACATTTGACCGTCTTTCCTCTGGACCCCACCTTGACCGGAATATATCAACACATCCCCATTATTATTTCCTCCTTCGGCGTCGTCATAACCTCCGGACGAGACTATACTTACGGCAACTGGCTCTTCGTCCATGCTCAGCTTCACGCTCATGTAATCGATACCCGACATGCTAGGTGCGTGAAGGCCGACAATGCAAAGCTCCATTCGGAAGAAGAAAATGTCGCCAACTTCGACTCCAGGGACATGGCCGACTCGTTTGGAGCTGTTCGCGCGCAGCCCTCTGGAAGTTAAGAGGGCCCCGGCTTTCGGGCCGGGCTGGCGGATAAGCCCGAGGACGATGTTCTTGGATTCTTCGAGCTGGGTGAGCTTACGGCGGAGCAAATCGAAGACCAAGAGTATGGTTTCGGCTACTTCCTTGTCGGTATGGGATTTTTTGAAGCTTTCGAAATCGTTGAGGTTGAAGGAGGTGATGAAGGTATTAGCCAAGGAATCGAAATCGAAATCGGAGGAGGAGCCATTTTCGAATCTTTCGCTGGCCCGAGATTTTCGTTTACTTGAATTACTTTGGGCATTCGGCCTTTTGGGACCAGCCGACCCGTTTGGTTGGGGTATTGGGGTCTTAAAGGAATTCAAGGGAATTGGAGATTGTATGTTGGTAAAATTACCATTTTGGGCGGCTGGTGGGTTTTGCGGAGACCCGTTTGAGGCCATAAACGGGTAAAATGGTTGGACGCCAGGTGGGAAAGGGCCAGATGGAGAAATACAAGTAAAAGGTGTGGGATGTGGGGTTGAAACTGAAGATGAGCCGTTTGAGTTTGGGAAAACCGGGACAAGACGCCTCAATGGCTTCAGTTCTAAAACCCTAGATTTGTCGATTGGGCTTGGTGAAGGATTTGGCTGAGAATCTAACCCTCGATCCATTTTTAACTAAGTAACTAAAGAAATCTAATCTAATAACTAAAGAAGCCTCCCAAAAGTTTATCACAAGAGAAAGAAGAAAGGGGAAAAGATACTCTTTCGCCAATATACAATACAACAGCTTACTGCAATTATTAAAAACCACCACCAAAATGAATCAGATGAGATTATTTGAGAACCACAGCTTTATAAAAAAAATCATAAGACTCTGAAAGGAATCAGCTTCCTGCGAATGCATAAAAACATAATCAGTGCTAGTTAGACCATAAATCAAGAAGTATACAAGCTTTCGAAAGACGGTAAGAAAAAACAAAAAATCCCTAATTTTTAGATGAATCCCACAAACCTCGTAAGAATCGAGCAAACGATGAAGAGGGTAGAGTTTGGATACACGTGAAAAGCTACCCTAATATGAGATTAGTTGTGAAAATGAAGATAAAAAAACAAAAAAAAAAAAAAAATCTTTTCTCCTGTTTCTTTTCTATACATTTCAGCTGACCTAATTTTCATAAAAGAAATGATTAAAAGAACGGATTTTTACGAGAAGGGGAATGAAAACGGAGGTAAATCAAGAATTGATAAACAGAATCCGAGGTTCAATCTCGAGAGCGAGAAAAGGGCAATCTTGAAAATCAAAATGGAGAAAAACAACACCATTCAGCTGACCTAAATTTCATACAAGAGGAATAAAGAACGGATTTTTACAAAGAGAAACATAAATTGATCAGAAAACGGAGGTCAATCAACATGGAGAAAGCTAAATTCTTGAAAAGGGAGATCTTGAAAATCGAAATTGAGGAAAAATCCATTACCTTGAGGGTTTTTTACCACAGTGTGTTCTGTTGGGAGCAAGAAAAACGAAATGTGTCCGAAGGGTGTTTCTATTAAGGTGTGTCTTTTGTGAGCTTTCTGCAAAACAGTGCTGCGTCTCGATAACCGATATATAATGGGTAATTGTTTTTTTAACTTTTTTTTAGATAATATATCAGATTTAAGAATCAAAATATTGGATTATTATTGGATTATTACAATTTTTTGGGAGCTTATTTCCCGAATAAAATTTATGTAATAAAAAATATGAATGTGCCCCATAGATAAAATGCATATGGGATGTTCGCTAGTCAAAACAATAGTGGATTATATAGTACACTTTATGCAAGAAAAAATGCTAAAAGTAATTAGTGATAATATAGGTTACATTTTAAAAACCTTTTCAATTACAATAATGTAGAGAAATAAAATTTCTTTTTTGGCGCTCACAAAAATTTACCAATTTCCTATAAAATTCCTTTTTTTAATAGCAATTTTACTCCTAATAATCTAGTGAATCAACTTATTTGAAGAGATTGTTCTCAACAGATGACTTGGAAGGCCATGGTAACTTAGATTCTGTTTAGCTCTTATCTAATCTATTGTTTTATTATTTATAAAAGTCTATCATTTTTTTAAAAAGAAAAAAACTTAGACATATAGCTCTTGTTTTGATAATATCGTTTTTGGACTACTTTAGAGGTTTAAGGTGAATGAGAAGAGGTTTGATTCCCGTTCTAACCTTTAATTAAATTGTCTGATAAATATGATTTGAAATAGATCTTTGAATTCGAAAGACTGATACAGAAAAGCTTAAAATAAATGTTTTTTGGATTAAAAAAAATTTGTAAAATTAACTGTTTCAACTTTCAACATACTGAATAATCTGTGTAACTGACTAGTCTAATGACTGCTAATTGTAACTATAACTAGTGAGTAGCTCGTGCGATGCACGGAAAAAATAATATTATTTAATAATTATAAATTAAAAATGCAGGTAAATAGCATTAAATAATAATAATAAATTAAATATTTGGGATTAAAATGTGATATAATTTACGTGTATTGGTTTGTTGTACAATATAAATTATCGTGTACAAAAGAGCACAAAACATGTATGTTTAAAGTATTAAAAATACCTAAAATAACATATGTAAAGATATCTAAAATATTTTACATTATTCTTAAAAAATGTAAGTCACCTAAACTTCCACTAAACTATTTTGTAAAGAAATGTCTAAAAGCACCTAAAGATATAAACTTTAATGTATAGAATGGGCAAAAAAAAAAAAAAATCTAAAAAGTATCTAATATATTATGTGTGTATTGAACGTGTAAAAAAAGTATATCTAAAATATTATTTGAGTAAATAATAAGTATTACAATCTAATATCTCATGTTGAACTTTATGAGAGAATATTTACATAGTAGATGTTATCTATATGTCTTGTGTACCAGTTTTATATTGTTACTATTAACATTGTTAGAAAGAATTATTATTCCTTGCATTGGAATATAATACATAAACCTATATAAAAATTTTAGAAATTTTTATTTTGTTGAAAATTTTTTCAAATGATGAAAAACAATAAAATAAAATTATAATTATTAAAATTAATATGATATAAAATAATAAAATATTAATTTAAATCGGTTGAAAATTAAAATATCAGACGTGTAATAATATTATTTTAATTGTTAGGTTTGTAGTAATATTATTTAATATCCATTCACAATCTTATTGGCAAAAAATTAAACTTTTCTTCATAAATCTAATTAAACAAAAAATGAATAATCATTTATCTTCATCATTCATATACTAATTAATTTGGTAATTGATTTTAATCTCGTTATTCTTGCTTTATCTGCCGACAAATACTCAAATTATCCATAATCTAACGTGTTGTATTTGTCATATCATATATTATTATAGATTTGTTACTAAGATAGAGATGAATGTTTTTATTTCAATGTTTGAGATTTAAATATAACAAATTCCATGATTTATGGTAGCATTAAATGCGCCCTAATTTTTTATTTAAAAAATAGAAAAAACATTTTAAAAATAGAATGTAATTAATAATCCCAAATTTTTTTCCTTACTATTTTTAGTAAATAGTAATTCTTATTATATATATATAAATATAAATTCTGTGTGGTACAATAGTTTTTGTGCCCCATTATTTCTTCTTAGTGATTTTACCAACTTTGACAAAAAACCAAATATCAGTACATATAAATGTCGAAAACAACAACAACATAGCCTTTAGTCTCAAGCAAGTCGGGGTAGCCTAGAGATGAAATCCAAGAGAACCATCGGTAAGAGAAACACAAAAAGGGGTTGAAACAAAAGGAAGAGATTGGAGCAAAAGAGAAAGGAGCAAAAGTCACGGTTCTGGCACGTTGAATGCTCCTATCCACCGCTAAATCCTTGGAGATATTCTAATCTTTAAGGTCTCTCTTAACCGACTCTTCCCAATTGAGTTTAGGCCGACCTCTACCTCTCTTTCGTCTTCGAACCGCTGTAGAACTCCCCAACGCACCGGTGCATCAGGAGGCCTCCGTTGGACATGTCCGAACCACCTCAGCCGATGTTGAACAAATTTCTCCTCAAATGGAGCCACCCCCACCCTATCTCGAATATCTTCATTCCTGATTCTATCCTTTCTTGTGTGCCCGCAGAACCAACGCAACATACGCATCTCTGCTACACTTAGTTGTTGGACATGTTGTCTTTTTGTAGGCCAACATTCAGCACCGTATAGGAGCGCCGGGCGAATCGCCGTCCTATAAAACTTACCTTTTAGCCTTTGTGGTACCCTCTTATCACAGAGAACGTCCGAAGCTTGCCGCCATTTCAACCAACCGGCTGCAATTCTATGCCTAACATCAGCATCAATGCCGCCATCCTTTTGTAGCATCGATTCTAAATACCGGAAAGTCTCCTTCTTGGCCACCACTTGCCCATCAAGGCTAACGTCACCATCATCATGTGGAGCCATGCTGAAAGCGCACGTCATGTACTCGGTCTTCGTCCTACTAAGTCTGAAGCCTTTCGACTCTAACGTGTCCTTCCACAGCTCTAACTTCATATTAACCCTTGCTCTACCCTCGTCAACTAGCACCACATCATGCAGTTAGATTTAATCCGCACAGATAATTTAGTCTAATCTCATGTCACGAACCAAAAAACAAAGAAAAGCCTCATGCAGTGTACATGTGAAATCATCCTGCAAAGTTACTACCGTAACAGGACATTACGAACAAATAACCAAAATTTTCGCAGATTCAACCGAGAAAAAAGGTACTTTCAAGTCACATTTACACTTTAACATGAAACAAACTGCAATAGATACACAGTAATCAAGACAAGAAAGAATCAAATCAAACATTCTTGTTCTTTTTCAACTTCGAAGGAGGCCACCTACCCTTCTTTCTAAGACGTCGTTTCCTGACGAGCCTCTTTCTCCTAAGCCGGATTTTTTTCGCCAGTTTCATTCTCAACTTCTGATCGATTTTCTCCTGAAGCTTGGACTCCAAAGGAAGGTTCTCGACTGGTATGTTGCTTTCTTCTTTGCTGTCTGAGGGTGGATTGGCCGAGCCCGTTTCACTATCATCTGAAGATGCTTTAACAATCAACGAGTCTCTGTTATTGAGGATAAAAGGTGATTGGATTTTATAACCCACAAAATAGACTTTCGTTGAGTGCAAATAAACCGACTTTTGGCAGAACCTGAAGACTAATTAGAAAAGAAAACAAATTAAAAGGGAATTCAAAGAATGTACATAGCAGCACATGTCAAAGGGGCAAATTGTGAAGACAGTTTTGAGTGTTTTTGCAATTAAAAACTATAACAATTGTCAAAAGGGCATCTTAAAATACCTCAGCATCACAATGTTAGCTCTTTATCCACTTCTTTAATTAAACTACTCACTCCTTATAATGAAACAACAAAATAGTTTAGTCTTGGATTATTCTGACAATCAAATGCAGAGAACATGTTCGTAAAAAATACGCTAAGGTCAACCCAAAAGGGTAACGGAGCTCACGAAGATCACTGCAGATAAAGCCTTAATCTACTTAACATTTGTACAGAAAATTGATTACTTCAAGTACCTTAGCGTATTTAAAAGTTGCAGAGTACGGCATATTGATCGACAAGTTCGAGACAGGTTTTACAAAAAAGTTGCAGAGTAGGGCATATTGATCAACACATTTTAACTAATTGCAGTGAATACTAACGAATACAATAAAGATCCGATTTTTACATTTTTCCCAGGCGTTTGCCAAATCGTGAAATAACAAGAAACAATTAAATGACACCCGTGCCGGAAAATTTCCCGGTCCCAATTTTTCACCAAGCACCCAACCAAACAACGAAAGTATGCACCACCATAAACCTCAAACAGAAAACAATCACATTTTTCTTGTTTTTTTTTCTTTAGGACAGCGTGATTTATGCTGGCCATTAATGTATTGAGGCGTTCGAGAGAGATTACTGTATACTTACAAGGGTGAGCAGCGAGCCCAGCGGCGGAGGACGACGGTGAAGAAAGAGTGTAGGGGGAGGACGTGAAGAGGANTCTTCACCTTAATGTGTATTTTAAATTATGTTTTTACCACGTTAATGTATGTTTTTTTTAATCAATATATAATGACTTCACATAATCATATTGATTGACCTAGTGTTTGGTAAATAATTAACAGCGGAATATCGTACATATGAATTTATATAATAATTTTATATGTAAAATATTACTTGCAACTTGTATTAATGTGTTTTTGGGTTTTTAACATATTTTCGTGGTAAACTAAAATCCACACTTCAAGGATTTTCATAATTTGCAACAATCGACAAAATTTTAACCATACAATCATCCACGAAAACTAACACGTGTATAGTTAAGATGTAGACGAAATGTTGCAAATTATTAACGTTCATGTTGCATTTTACCATAAAAAAATATAATATGTTGCAAAGTCTTAAAACACGTATTAAACAAGTTTGAAAAAAAAATATTTTGCTTAAATTTATTGTGAATAATTAAATATTCCTACATTGACAGTAATGGTTAGTATAAACCTACTACTACTAGAGGAACAATTAAAAATGAATAGTTGCCCTATAATGAATTCAAATTTAGACTACATCTGGTAATTTTAGAAGATAATAATTGACTTTTTGTAATAATTTAAATTTTTAGGTAGCATTCTGTAATTGGGCCTAACTTTTCAATAATAACCTCGATGTTAATTATCAAATCTAATGGCACCTTCTTAATGGATCTCAAAAGTACAGTTAAATGGACCCCTTTACACAGCTACTACTACATCGTTTTTACAGTTTCTACACTGAAATTCCATTAGTTTTACAGTTTCAATAGTGCCACAAACTTCAACCTATTCCCTCTATAATTCTCCTTTAAAAGAATATTCCAAATATATTCTTTTCTAATTTTATTAATTTATTAAATAATCTCTACAAATTACATTTTAATGCATTATGCTTGGATAAAATTTACATATTTATGTATATATATTAAATATTTATTAATAAGATTAATTAATCAATTTAAATCAAAATTATAAAATTATACATTACATCATAAAACCATGCGGATTTCATCATAAATATTAATTTAAAAAAAAATCAACACGAACATGAAGCATTCAATACAATAACAAGTACGAAAAATAAAATACAACACTAGTTATTGCATGTTTACTCTTATTTTGTAATTTTAACTTGTGAGTTTGAAATATTTATTTAAGTAGATTTAAATACTAATTAATATTTTATCCGTGAACTTCGGGTTTCTCTAAATAAATGCTCGGAGATCCGAAATACTCGATAAATGGATCGAATGGAATCGTGCCAAAAAGATCTACACGCCTTGACTCGTTTCTCGGTAAACTGAAGTCACACGCGACCTTGTGGGCCCTACGTAATCGGCCTTTTATTTATTTTACTAATATGCACACTCGAACTCGAGCTTCTCAAATAAATGCTCGAGACCTCAAAATGTGAAATAACCGCATCTACCGGTTTCTCCTCTTCTCGTGCTTTCATGGAAGCACTTTCGTTAATGCTCGGCCCGCCTAACGAGGGCCGACGGGCTACCCGAAGTCAAGACATGAAACGAACTCAAAATATAGTGAAATTTTTTTTTAAAAAAAAAAAGAAAAAAAGTTTAAAAGGGTGAACAGTGGAACGGTGTCACAACCGTTCCACAAAATCAAGGGAGCCGTTTCCGCCAGATATAGAGGGTTGGTTGGATATCAATTCCCCCCAACTATACTGTTTTCGCTGGTTTTACAGTTGGAGTTGGAGATGCTCTAATATTGAGCTAAATGAATTAAAAAAAAATAAAAAATTGTTAGTTATAAAGACAACAAGAATTGTTTGATGTACAATTTCCATCTGTAAAACTAAAATCAACTAATTAATCAATCATTTAAAAGAAACATCTTCAACTAATTTAAGAGGTAGAAAAAAGTTCATATGTGGCAAAATCCCTAATTAGACCTATACTGGTTAAAGCAGTAGACTTATTAGCATGGTTATGAAAATTGTGTAGGGAACTTTATCGGGAAAATAAAAATAAGATGGCTAAAATAAAAATACTGAGGCCTGTGAGAACACAGTGTTCTTAAAATAGATTCGCCCCGTATGAGCGTCTGTTTCCCAGGATACAACGGAATAACCGAAACTAATCTGGCGAACTGGAATTATGCCTGGACCAAAACACTTTAAAGACAAATGGGGAATATTGTTTTTCTCTTCTTCCTTTCGTGTGTTTTTTTCCAAATGAAGATCATCTGTTTTTATAGGACAAAGATATGGTAACTAATGCATTTAATTTAACATTAATAAACTTAAGTTAAACATTGATGCAACATTAATAACATCAAGTTACAAGTTTTAAAAGAAAAGTGTAAGACACGGTTTCAAAAGTTATCAGTTACAACTTTCATTCAAATTTTCCAACAATCCCCCACATGAATGAAATTGAAAAAATAATGTTATGGTCCGACAGTTGAAACCTGCATAAGATAGGTAGGTGTTACCCTTTGAACCTTTCCTTGTGAAAGCACATTAACTTTACTAGCTGACCAGTAGACGCGATGTCTTTGAACTGTTCTACCTTTTGTGTAAACGATAAATATACTTCACACAGAATTCTCCCTAACATATTCCAGTTCTCATTATTATGTCCATTGATGGCCTTGGACATAACCTGGTTCTGTGAGAGGGTGTAAGAGTTGAGCCTCACACAATTCTCTTCGAAGTGGACCCACTTCTCTCTGACATAGGTGATTCTTAATTGCAAGTAGCCCGTACTACCTTCCCATACAAGAATCATTAAAAGTCAAATGCTTATCCTACTCACCACGGGCATCACTGTTTAAGGAATGGACAATGGATAATAAACCACAGTGATCATTAGAGTCTTTTTACAATTAGGTGGTCCCTTTGAACCAAGATCTTGGGATCTCCAGTCAATAAGGTAGGGTTTCCATTGTATCAACTCATTTCTAGAGACTTAAGTCCCATTCCTCTCAATGATTTAGCAACTAACTCTCTATTTAACCCTTTGGTTAGCGGATCTGAAAGATTATCTTTTGACTTCACATAGTCAATAGATATTGTACCAGTTGAGAGTAGTTGTCTAATGGTATTATGTCTTCGACGAATATGTCTAGACTTACCATTATACATATTACTTTGTGCCCTTCCTATAGCCGATTGACTATCACAATGTATACAAATGGCAGACACTGGCTTTGACCATTTTGGAATATCTTCTAAGAAATGGCGAAACCATTCTGCTTCTTCACCACTTTTGTCCAATGCTATAAATTCAGATTCCATTGTGGATCTTGCAATAACAGTCTGTTTAGAAGGTTTCCATGATATGGCTGCACCTCCTAAAGTGAATATATATCCACTAGTGGATTTAGAATCTTTCATATCCGATATCCAGTTGGCGTCACTATAGCCTTCAATTACAGCTGGATATTTACAGTAGTGCAGACCATATTTACTAGTATATCTCAAGTATCTGAGTAATCTCACAATTCCTTTTCAGTGTTCATCTCCTGGATTACTTGTATATCTACTCAGTTTACTCACGGCAAAGGCGATGTCTGGTCTAGTACAATTCATTAGATACATCAGACTTCCTATCACCCTTGAATATTCGACTTGAGAAATACTTTCCCCTTTATTTTTCGACAGATGCCTGAGTCGAATCATCCTTGTTGAATTTTTCAAGGATTTTCTCCACATAATGTTTCTGACTTAGAACAATTCCTTGTGATGTTCTATGAATTTTAATTCCAAGAATCACATCAGCTAGACCCATATCTTTCATGTCAAATCTTGAATTTAACATATCTTTTGTGGATTTAATAATTTTATCATTGCTTCCAACAATAAGCATGTCATCTACGTAAAGACATAGGATTACATAACCCTTTTCGGTGTCTTTAACATAAACACATTTATCACATTCATTAATTTTAAATCCACATTGAATCATGACATTATCAAACTTTTCATGCCATTGCTTTGAAGCTTGTTTTAAGCCATACAAAGACTTAACCAATTTACAAACTTTATTCTCTTGCCCGGGAGCAGAGAACCCTTCAGGTTGCTCCATATAAATCTCTTCTTCTAAATCTCCATTTAGAAAAGCTGTTTTTACATCCATTTGATGTATTTCAAGATTTCGTAAAGCTGCAATTGCAATAATCACTCTGATGAATGTTATCCTCGTTACAGAAGAATATGTATCAAAGTAATCAAGACCTTCTTTTTGCTTATATCCTTTAATTACAAGTCTAGCCTTATACTTATCCATTGTTCCATCAGTTTTCATTTTTCTTTTGAAAATCCACCTATAGCCTAATGGTTTACATCCAAGAGGAAGATCCACTAGCTCCATGTGTGATTTTGCAAAATTGAATAAATTGCACTTTGGATTGCCTCTTTCCAAAAAGGTCCTTCAGAAGAATTTACTGCTTCTAAAAAAGTTTGTGGCTCACTTTCAACCATACAGGTTAGAAAATCTGGACCAAAAGTTTTTTCTATCCTGCCTCTTTACTTTTCCGAGGTTCTACCTCAGCATATCCATCGTGATCTTTTT